CAGACCTCCTGGGCTCTGCTCCCACTTCTGGAGCTGGAACTGGAAATCACAGGCAGATGCACAGACGTTCATCGGGGGCAAACCTTGTGACGGCCTGGCTGGGAGTTGCTGGTGGGCTGGGCTGGGAGTTCAGTGCTCTGCCCCAGGGACGGGGAGCCCTGGGTGGGGTCAGGTGCAGGCTGTCAGGGATGAAGTGCTGGTGACACCTGGAGAGCGTGCAGTTGAAGGGTTGCGTTGTGCAGGCGTGTAGAAACTGGGGAACTCTCAGCCCCCTGTCATCACTGACGTGAGGGACGTTTGCATCGGCGCCCGGGACAAGGCAGGCGATCCTGTCCTCCCCGGTGCTTCTCCGTGCCCACCTCCCCCACTGGCGCATGGAGACTCAGTGCTGGGCCATCCTCTGCGGGCTGCCGGTTCCCCGCCTGCCCAGATCTGGTGCTCGCTGCGTCCTGTGCTGTCTCGTGTTGAAGCTGAACTTTGATCTGAGAAGTTCACGGTCCCCCTGAGAGCTGCTGGCAGCAGGGGCGGATGGGCAGGGTCGGGCATTGCTGGGGCAGCTGCACCCCACGCAGCCCAGGAAGGAATGAAGGCAGACCCCAGGCCAGTGCCGCAGGAGTTTAGATCCCAGTTAGGGAGAGGTGTGTCAATATTCTGAAAGGATGGTTCGCCCTGCGAGGACCCGTGAGTGTGGGCAAGCACGCTGCGGGCGTGTCCGTCCAGGGGCCTCTCCTGGGCTCCTCCGTCGGGGCGGGAGGGGTTCGCCCACAGAGGTCCGCCTGTTACAGCTTGCTGCACGACGGGCCGGGAAGTCGGGAGACGAGGTGCTGGGACAAGGAAGAGCGAATTTACTCAGGAAGCCAGCAGACCGAGTAGATGGCAGACTGGCACCCCCAGAACCGTCCTCCGCAAGTCAGAGTTCGGGCTCCTTTTGCTCTAAAAGGTGAGCGGGCGTGGCTGGTTGGCGCAAACTTCTTGGTGTCGGAATCCTTCATTCTTGCAGCTGACCTCGCAGGTCAGGTCACAGTGTTCCTGTAAACCTCCAGCAAGACAAATGTTATTCTCAGTTCTGCGACTTCTTATCTCCGTGTGAGTGGAAAAGTGTTCTGCCCTTAAAGGCCGAGCCTCAAGAGTGGGCCGTCCTGTCTATGCAGGCTCTCGGCGATGTTCCTCCGCAAAAGGTGCAGAGCCACAGGGCTGAGCAAGGGGACAGAGCCAGGGTCAGAGCCGGAGGGTCAGATCCGCCGTGGACTCAGGCTCGTTCTTCCCTGTCGGGCGCCCAGGTCCAGGCTGGCTTTCCCGCCCCCAAGGAGGGAGTGAAGGCTGCCAGCAGCGACATGGGGCTGATTAATCCCTGGGCCTGGGAAGGCGTCGGGAAGGGGCCCCAGTTTACTTTAGTGAACTGCCCTTCGTGGGGTCAACGAACTGTCTTCCCTTCATCAACAAGGAAGAAGGGAAGCCAAGGGGGCCACTCGGGAAAACTCAGGCACAAACGCAGTCACGCTTGGCCTCCAGAGACCCCGGTGCGAGGGGCACTGGCCTTGTCCCTCACTGTGAGCTGGGCCTGTCACATACAGGGCTTCTGCTGACTTGATGCGAAGGAATAAAGGTATTCAAGTGTGACGGAATTTCAGTTCTTTGGGGGCTTAACGCACCGAAGTTTTCCCTCCCTGTTCCCCTCGGTCTGTACTTCATAGTCAAGGTGGGAGCTGAGATGCAGAGCAGGGCATAAGTTAAACCTCTGACGTGAATACGGCTCCCACTGCCTTGCAAGTCAGATCAAATTGTTACAGAACAAACCAGGAAACCTTATGTAAGAGGAAAAAGTGTTGGTTTTTTTTTAAACAAATGGAAGTGGTGATTTGTGGCTTCACTTTCTCAACACATTAGGTGGCACTGAGCATGCGGGGGCGAGTAAGCCCACAGGCCTGGTCCTGCCGTCCTCCTGGAGGATAGGACAGGAGAGGAGGGTCTGAGGGGCCCAGGGCTTCCCCATCTGCTGTCACCTCGGTGCTCGGGGCAGGCGGGGCCCAGGCTTCGGGGACGGGGCCAGCCCTCCGTCCTGGGATGTCGCGTCTCCTCTGTAGTGTTCTGTGCCCAGCGGCGCCCAACTTGGTCTGAAAGTGGAGCTGCCCTGTTTTCCATGGTTCTCTCTAAAAGAGAGTATTTCCTTAGTGTGTGTTCTCTGTTCCAAAGGACTCACTTCAGAGCTCCTCCCAGTGCTTGGGCACCTCTGGGCCCTTGCTGCCTCCAGGAGGCGTGCGGGTGAAGACACACTTGCCTGGTGCCCCGTCAGCGCGACCACCGTGCTGGGAGGTGGCACACACCATATGGTCCTTGATGGGACTATTTCATTTAGGGTTTCTTTCTTTTTCAAAATTTTTATTTATTTCTTATTGTATTATTTATTTTATTTGGGTGGTGGGGGAGGTAATTAGGCTCATTTATTTCTGGAGGCGGTCTTGGAGTTGAACCCAGGACCTCGTGAATACCAGGCATGTGCTCTACCACTTGAGCTGTACCCCCGACTCTAGTGTTTCTGTTTTTAATTGAGGTACAGTTGATGTACAATGTTGTGTTAGTTTCTGGTGCGTAGCATAGTGCTTCAGGTATCATGCATATGTACACACACACACATGTTCCTGAAAGTATTTCATTTAAACATCCTTTTTGTAAGATGCAGAAGCAGGAACAAGCCACACCGCCACTCGTCAGGAGGACAGCAGGGAGGGGTGTCTTCTTGGTCTTGGGGTGAACTTCGGTGGGCAGACGCGCTTGTGCAGGGACTGCTTGCTATGGGGAACAGGCTGTCGCCCCCTCTTTCTGCCCAGCGGTGTTTCTATCCAGTCTAGCTCTGGCCACACCTGCATTCGAGGTCACGGCTCCATGGTCCATCCTGGGGGCCCGGCGCGGCATGGTCGGGTGCTTAGACAGGAGAGGTAACCTCATCTCTCTCCCCTCTCCCCCAGGGCGGGAGCAGTTCCATGGCCTGGGCTCCATGTACTGCCGGGGGGCGGCCGCTGTCATCCTCACCTACGACGTGAACCACGCCCAGAGCCTGCTGGAGCTGGAGGACAGGTTCCTGGGCCTGACGGACACAGCCAGGGCCGACTGCCTCTTCGCCATTGTGGGGAACAAGGTGGACCTGAGCGAGGACGGGCCCGGGGAGAGCCGGCAGGAGGGAGGGGGGCGGCCCCGGGCCGGCCGGT